TTGGGCTTTGGCTGTTGAATAGCTGGTGGATGATATAGTAGAAGACTGTGTGAAACCAGCCATTCCAACAGTTTCTGGAATTTATTTTGTTTGCCTTTCCTTATTTAGTGCTGCCATCTTTCAAGTTTTCCTGGTTGTAGGGTACTTATTAGATGTGGAAACATTTTTCTCGACTTTCTGGATCTTGTGACCAAACTAAGATGGCAATTGATCTCTCTCTCTCTCTTTTTTTATGCTGTTATCCTTCAGTTTGTCTTTTCATGGAACACTGCATGGAGTTGCCATTATCTCCGAGTTCTGATATCTGTGTCAATATTGAGACCATAGTTTAAGTTGAATCAGGTGCATTTTGTTTTCCTGTATCTGCTACTACCATCTTGTTTTTATTTTTGTTTGTTGTTATGCTATGGTAGTGGTAGTTCTGCTTTTTGGCAGTGATTTGGACATCCAGCTTTGAGAATTTTATTTTCATGACCCATTGTTTGCAGCCAATGTAGGCATTGGCCATAATGTCAGTGTTCAGGATGCCCAGGAAATCTACCAACTTATTCTTACTTTGATAGGTCAGAAGCCTATGTCAGCAACTTAGGGGTAAATGTTGTACTGTGATTGTTCATTTTAAGGCAGTATGTAAGGCTTACAAATGATTTAATTTCTTATGTTGAAATAAATGTCTTCCAAACATCTATAAACACACCAGTCTAACTTCTTAAATTTAGTAATCACACCTGATCTCTATTGTTGGCCACTTGTTAGTTATAGCAAACTCCTTGCAAGTTGGCATAAGTACTGTCTGACTTGCATATAAGAATCTTTCAATACTGTTTAGTTTCCTTGCCAGTGTTATTGTTTCCAATAGGGGAAGGGGTGCATTTTTATATGCCATTAACTGAAACTTAGTCAGTGGCTTTACAAGTACAAAACCACTATTTCCTGACTTGTACCTTTAACAAAGTTGGTATAACTTGAATAAAAGCTTGCATACTTTTTCAACCTATCTTAATCTATGCTTTTCAAGAATCTAGATTAATGTTGTCACTCTTGCAAAAATAATGGAATTATTTATAAAAAAAAATCTCTCAACTTCAGAATGTTTAAAAAAAAACAGCATTAAACAAGTTATGAGGAAGACTGTGTCTTTTGATTTGGTTTAAGCTAAAAATAGGAATTTCACAAAATCCAAAAGTATAATATTAATATATGAGTTTCACCAAATTAAAAATAGTCAATTCCAACACTGAAAACAATGAGTACATCCTGCCTTTCTGGAGTGCTACTTAAGTTATACCAATGGCAATGAAATATAATGCTAGTTTATAATAACCCTATTCCAAACTCTTTGAAAATGCTGCTCTTATTTTTCTCAGTGGTGAAGTAGGCATAGTACTAGTTTCATCTTTAGATGTTTTATCACTGTAATTAAACTTGTTTGTTTAAACATTTTTGACACTGTATACATTCTTATGTCAGTCCTCTTGGAATTCCAAATGCACCAAATGTTTCACATATTTTGAATATGTGCACAAGATTTATGAATCAATAAATTGGAAAGAATTTCATAACATTATTGCAGAACATTATAGTTGTTACAGAAATGATTGTAATAACATTAATTATGTATTTATGTTAATATTAGTTTGCATTTTTAAGTGCACTATCACAAAAATAAGATTAATATTTGTGATTGTTAACAAATGATGTCAGAAAGTGGAAATCCATTATTCAGAGTGGGCAGACTTACCTGTGAAATATGAAAAATTGTTCAGTTTCTCTCATGCTGTCAACTATCATGTGACTGAAGTTCTTATCCTTGACATCATGTAGAGCATGCATCAACATACCCAAAGTTCCCCACTCCCAGCTTCCACATAACTGATTTTGTTCATGTAAGAAAGACTGCTTTCCCACCATAAACAAGATTGTTTTGGTGACAGTTGTTCTGTTAACTTTATTCAACAGGAATTCTGAGGTTAGTGTTAATTGCTGCTACGAATGTTTTTACCAATATCAGAATCAGTACAACTTCTCTGCCTCTAACATACAGGGGTTTCCCATGAGTATATTGTCATCACTTATTGATCTACATATTCAGGTATTTAATGTTGTATTGTCTGCTGATGTCCTGGATGGGTTTCACATTCATTTGGATCCTCAGTTGCAGAACCTCTGCTCATTTCTCAAGATGGTGATGATAAACATACATTGATAATAATAAAAATATATTTTCTGAGCAGGAGTTGTCAGCTAGTCCTAATTCCAAAGAAGCTTTTGCTGGTTTAATTTCTCATTTTTTCTCAGGTATGTTCTATTTGAAATCTTCAACTCATTTCTGTTACGTCTGAGGGTGCTAATGTCACATGGGAAGATTAAGTTTTTGGTTATAATGTTTTCAACATAGCTGATGTTTTTAGAAATCAGCTAAATGTTAATAGCCTTTAAGCAGGGTCATCTTATTTTGCTCGTCTTACTTCTCAATTCCAAAATGATAGACTTACCTCTGTGTACACAATAGCTATTTCTAGCACATCTGCCTTTGAGATTTATGGTACTAGCCTTAAGCTATCTCTCACCTAAGACATATTATACAAGAATTGTGCTAATGCCTGATGTAACCAATAGCTCTTCACCAGTAGTAAAGCAACATATTCTCCATGCACAGTAGATCCCCATAAGCACTTTACTTTTTTTTTTCTATCCTTACCAAAATATTTAACATATACGTTTTTTGAAGTATAAACTTAATCAGTTTAATGAGATTTGTGCTGCCTTTTCACAGTGTTAACTTTCTTTGATTGCCTTTTAGTTTCTTTTAACTTTCATTCCAAGGTACATAGCTACTAAATAACTTAAAAAAAAATTATCTGGAGAATTATTACAACGACTATGAATTCTCAAGTGACAGTAACTGCTACCTCCTTCAAAGGTTCTGGTGATGTTCTTAACACTACCCCTACATTGTCTGTGGCCACTGGAGGCACATTGGTTGTGGAAGATGTTACTTCCATAGTTCATCATATTGTGGATTCTTTGATGCCTTTCTTGCCTCTTTATCTGCTGAGGAACTCTCTTAGGATATGATTACTCAAGGCCAGGCTCACATGAGGCTTCTTCAATGGATTTTGAGCTACCAAGGGAAATTATGTCTTGATCCTCCATCCTGTATTGTGATGCTCTTGCCTTCTGTTCTCAGGGAACTGGCTTGTTGGCTGCGTCATATCAATGCTTTGGTCGCCACCCCACCCCCTGTCTATATTTCCCTACACATCTATTGCAGTTAGGCATGTCTCTGGATGACTCTACGACCTTGGGGGTTTGGTTTTTTTTGTGGAGTGTACTTTCTACATAAGTGTTTTGTGGGGCACTTTGTTATGATCCACTCCAAAAATTCTACAGTCATTTCCCATATCAATCATGAGGTAGGCTGGGACTTGCTCCAGTGACATCAGGTTCACCTGACAGCCTGCCATGTTTTGAGAGTTTTGAACTCGACCAGACAGGATTTTTCCTATGGAGTGGTCACTCTGCCTTAGTTATTTTGATGTATTTGTTCCCAGTTGGGCATGCCAATGATTGATGCCTCTTCCATGCCTTCTAACCCTACCAACATGGGTCACAGGTCAAAGGCCACATCATCACATTTATTGACTTGCATTCAAAATTTTATTGAACTACTATTTTATGAATGTAGGTCAATAAGTTTGGTATCAAATTATAGATTGTAATTCAACTTTTAGTATTATACATTAGTTAATTTCTTAATTTTAAAGTAAATATTCAAAATGAAATCCTAAATATCGATTTTTGTGTGTCATGTGGTATGTTTAATGCAGCATTGGTTCATGTTAGATGTTTGTGATGTCCAAATACAAAGTCTAGTCTCTTACAAATTTGATACTCAAATTACCGATATTGAAAAACTAGAATATAAACTAAGAACCTCCTATATTTTCTATTTTCTGAGTGTATCAACCAAAGTGGCCCTGCCCACCTTCAATTTTTAAAACATCTTGCTCACATACATCTACTTCACCCAATGACGTGTATAGCCAATCGAAAGCTCAGACCCATTGGCATGCAACTTGCCCATTTCTTCCATCATTCTCCTGATTTCTGTTTTGATTGAACTGAGAGATATGACAGCTTGATCTCCTTTTCTTCTCACAGATGCCTTTAAATCAGTTGACACATATTATGCAAGATGTCAAGGAAATTCAGAACTTTAATTATGTGGTTGTTGATAGCATGAAAGTAACTCGGCAAGAAAAGACTTTCTGGTATTTAAAAGGTAAGTACCTGTTTCAAGTTCATTTTAATTAAAAAGTATAAAAGTTCAGCATATCTATGGCTACAGACATATATGTATATCTTTTATATACTTGCAATCATATATGGATATTTCTCTGATTAAGCCTTACCTGTTATAGGAACCAGCAAGAAGTAAATCTGCAAAAGACCAAGTAAAACTTTCCTGGGTAAAGGATACTGATGGTGGTTTCATTTTGCTCAACACATTCATGATGATATCAAAAATTGCCGGTCATGGACCACTTAGTTAAATCCATGCAAAAAATATACAAGGCAAAACTTGAACAAAGAAAAATGAACACCTTCAAACAACTGTGGCTACTGCATCGCATGCTAAAATTATAACAGAAAGTAAGCATATTGAAGTAAACTTATGGAATGTGTCTAGTAATTTAATCAATAACTATGCATATTGGGGTAATTGTGTGCCTACTGCCAATATTTATTCAGTAATTTGCATTTTACAAATACAGTATGTTTTACAAAATTAAAAATTGTAGTTGTACAGCTGTATCATGGTTCAAGAGTTTATTTTAATTCAAAGTTATGATTATTAGGTATATCATTTATAAGGAAGTTTTTCAATGTGTAATTAATGGCAGATTTTCTCACAATATTTATAGTCAGATGTATGATTTTATGTCTCTAACACATATTATAATAAATTAATTTGTAGCATAACTTCATTGTTTCAGGTGTCCCATGACTGGATGAAAGCTTCCACTGCTGCAAGAATTTTTCTAAGTGTAGGAAGTCAGCTTCAGTCAACTTACCTGCTAGTTGCTTACAGTATTGAGAAGGAAAAACTAACAGAGTTGTTAGGTGACAGACCATTAGTCATTATTACTGATGAGATCACTGTTGTGAAAGGTAGTTTTCCACTGAAAATCATTATAGCTTCATGAAAAGGATGACAATGTGGCCTATCTAGTACTCTAGATACTGTGTTTGTTACAGCAGGTTATTGTCATTATATATAACAGAATTATGGCATTGAGTTTAATATAACATTGTATATGACACTGATAATGCTGCCTTTATGAAGAAGCCATACAAAGATTGGGATTGTTATAAATGTGTTCATGTGAAGTATGTTGCATAGTTTGAATATTTTGAACTGCATTGATTTACATCAACAACTCTGTGGAATTTTTCTCTGCTATGTTAGCAAAGAAATCTAGATATCTTGGGTATTTATTAAGAAAGGGCCAAACACCAATGATAACACACTTCATGCCTATAAGATGAAACTTGTGGTTTAACATATTAAGCATAACAAGGAGCACTGCCACCTGCTTAACACCTCTTAATGTCGAAATGAACACCTCCAAAGTTTTATATATCTTTGTGACTTGTTAAAGGATGACAGTGTATGCATTGATTTACAATCTTAACTTACATTGAACCAGAAAAAAAATATGGAAATAAGTTTCTATTCTGTTATTTGCTTTTAAAGGCTTTCCATTTGATTAAACCACCAGCAAAGTGATGACTCTTGAGGCCCTTTGTTCTTTTCTGCACTTTGTAGACATGTATGACGTACCTCTGACAAGCAAGAAAGATTTTATTACTAGCTACTAGACTACTTTTAAGGCAAGATCTGACAAAGTCATAAAGTTTGTTAAAGAAGATGGACAGCTCAGTTTGATTTCTGGAAGTATGTTCAGATATTCATCTAAAGTAATTTTCTTCTATCACAAGCATAGCACTTACTGTATCCATTTTGGATATGATGATGATGTTTTGGTAGAAGAGTTTAGGCTCTACACTGAGCAATTAGTGCATAATTTCTATCAAGAAAAATGCAAGGCTAGCAAATATTTAATCATTTTTGATATCAGTGCAAAACAAAATAACTAAGTTTTTACAAACTAATAACTAGATACAAAAATGCAGTCATCAGTGTTGCAGATACTGAAAAAGTTTCAGTCTGTATAATTTGATTGTTTGTAGAGGATACTGAAATTTCTCCCAGAAAAATTCAGATAACTGGTCTAATCTAACTACAATCAGTCTGTTCTTCTTGACAAGGGATTGGACCTAAATCCTGAATTGCTTTATTGTTTCTATTAATTAACATTCTTGTAATATTTGTGGTGAAATAAAATAGATTGTGTTGTAAGAGTGTGTCTTATGTGTATTTTCATATGTAAAATTATTTTAGTTGTTTATTAATATATCTAAACATCAATTCATGCTTTAGTGTGGCTAGTTTTTTGATGGAAACTTTATGCTTTTCTGTTCTACATACAGTTGGTTGTTACAGAATTTACAATAATGATTAGAATTGTAATTGTTTGCACAAAATCTGCACAAAATTTCAAAGGGATTGTAATGTACGCTAGTGTTAAAAAATTTGGAGTCTCCTTGACAAAATGCAAAAACAGAAATAAGCATGACATTAAACAATTGTTTGATGTCTTTTGATTTAATTAAGTAAATTCTCAATGTATATATTTACATATGACTCAGATACAGTTGTGTTCACTGTTAGCATGGAGAAAACATCAGTTTTATCTTTTACAATTTGGCAAGTACTTGCATGTAGTCTCTAGCACCTTCCAAAGTTCATTCTTATAGGTGGTAACAGTTGCATGTTACCTTGATGGTGAAGGTATCTGGGCCCTGGAGACCACTTCATAACTTGAAGGAGATCAGCATTTTCTCTGTAATGCATGTAGTATTTTGCTGTTTTCTAACTGCTAAGAATACACTTGTACTTGGGATCATCCAAAGCATGACAAGAAGAATTTCAACAAGAACAGATTTGTTACCATGCTACACAACTGTACCTCAACCAAGCCTATTTTCACTTCTAAACTGCATTTTTTCATTATCTTTGCATATCCCCTTTTCTGATGCATGGCCATTGTACTTATCCATTGAATTTTAGATTCTTGGGCATCAAATAATTCTGACCTCTAACACTCCACTTATTTCTATGAACACTGCACTTTGTGGTGGACCATGTATCATTTTCACCTTGTGAGTGAACATAAAATATATTAATTGATTTACAAGTTCTATTAATTGCTTAGATCTACTTGTTGTGACCATCCAGTTGCAAATTTTAATCATAGCTTGACCATTTTGTTAATACGAAACTTAGTTATACCATTAGGAAACAAAACAGAGTTACCAACTTATTTGGTTTTGGATATTTTAAATATGTTCTTTCTTGCTGCTATGCATCAATAAAAGTCATATCATATAGTCCCAAGATCTAGCAAGTCAGTTGTTTCTTGGTGTATGTGTAAAAGAAGCATTTGATTCAATTGAAACTGTCTTCTCAGGCTTGGAAAAAGACAAATAAAATCCTACGAGGTAGTGAGATTTAGGTAAGAGTAGTTCTAATGAACAACTCAATGGCTGTAATTCAAATGCTGTGTAGTAGTGCTGTCTTTGTCTTTGTGTAAAGCTTTTCTATAATGATGACTGATACTTTGCTTAAAAGTTCAATAAGTGTTATTATTACAGTGTATACTTAGGTTTATATAATATAGCCTACAGATAATATTTTTATAAATAAGGTTGTCACCATTGTACAAGACAAGGTGCTGTATTATAACTTACTGTACATACATATAATTAATTTTTATTTTAATATGTACAATATATTGTTTGATGATACTGTTTTTCCAAAACAGATTTCAGTATCAAACTTAATCATTTATACCTAATTGCCATATTCTCTGGAACCTTGTAATCATTCAACATTTGTCTTATAATTTTCTGGACTTTGTATGCCTTAAATGTGTTTAGTACTACATGAATGTGATTAAAGATGTTAATTTACAAGCTACATTTTTAAAAGAAAGCTCAGCATCACTGTCAACAAATAACACAAGATTTTTATGAAAATTTAATTTTGCTTCACTAAAATCAAATCAAATGTCTATAATCATGAAATGACTCTGCAGGCTTTACATAGTTAATTCTACTTATTTACAGTACAATTAGGTATGAGACTGAACTTGCGTGCCTGAACCTTTTTCTTTTTTAAATAACTGTTTTTACCTCTTTATTTTCAGTGACTTGAGTATATTTTTTAAATACAGCCAACAGTTGATGTCATTTGCCATCACTTATCATGAAAAAATCACCAGCCGTTTATGATTTTTTTCCTTCATTATTCATTAGTTTTTTTTTTTCCAGTGTCAAGCTTTGTTACATATACTATGTTTTCAGTTCAAAAGGTAGTGCAAATTATGTTCAACACGTTTGCTACTCTGACATATACACAACATTTCTTACTTCAAGTTCAAAAACAAAGATAAAATATATAGGATTAAGTGTTTTTAATTTCGGATTTTGTAAAAAATCTCGAGGTAAGCATGTATCTGCTTGTTAAGTACCGTATTTTTCAGAATATAAGATGCACTGGTGTATTAGACGCACCCTTATTTTGAGGACAAAGTTTTGGGGGGGAAAGCTACAGTCGCATTTGAAAGATTTTTATTGAACAAAAATTCCATTTGATACTTTAAAGATTATTATATATTGTTCAAAACACGAAAAAGCTCAAAACATCAAAATAAGAATATACCGTAAATCAAAAAAAGGTTTACTGTTATTTAGTTTGAATATAAATAAATTGAATATAAAGTTTTTAAAAAAATAAAACATATTTTATCTCTTGTTTTCCCTAATGTAACTATAGCTGAATTATCAATGTATGATGAAATGAAATTTTTAAAGTTACAAAATAAAATAAACATACCTTCTTTTTCTTTCAATACACAATTTTTATGTCACACTTTTAGTTAATGAATATTTATCTTTTCACGTATAGCTTATTTATAATTTTATACTTTTATTGCCTGGGTTCTACGATGTATAGTTCACAGTGGACAGTCATTAGCAGATTCTGATACATCCACTTGCTGAGCATTTGAAGTTCTGCATTTTTGTAGCCTAATGAATTAAGGCCTTGTTAAAATTTTCTCTAATTTTTTTTTCATGAAAAAATTTTGAACTTTTCATATATATGTATTTTAAAACATAAATAATACATAATTCACTAAAGTAGAATATCCATAAACAACTATAATTGAAGTTTTTTAATTAAGCTATAAATAGGTTAAAAAGATTACAAAGTGCTATGAGCTTCAACTTTACTTACCAGCACATCACACAATCAACACCTCTAGTTTGATGTCTCTTGCCACCAATTTCAAAATGACTTCTGCAAGCTTGAAAGTGAAAATAAACTCTTTCTATTGGGTATAAACAAATAAGATGACATGGGTTTGAAAACTGCCTTGAAAGTTAAAGATAGATGAATGTGGCTTCTTTTGTGAGTTGGGAAAATTTATTGATATCCCACTCAATGTATGAGTTTGGACATTTAACTGTGCATTGGACTTTGGAATTATTTATAGATTGTGTCTAAATAACTCCGCGTAGATGTAGATGCGTTGTTATTGAATTTATATGGACTAAAAGAGAACTTAGAATGCAGTTGCTGTCACATGACACATAAGTAAAGATTAAGAATTTTGTTAAATAATTTCTTTTAGAAATAAGAAATTAACGTTTATATAAGAACTTGGATTGTAAACTACAGTATGATGCTAGTTTTATTGACATAAGTTGATAATAAAGTTGGTTAGCTAAATTTTGAATGTAACAGAAACTGTAAAACATAGTGATGCATAGAGACAATTAAATTGTCATTACTGTTCATAGCCTAGTTTTTCTCCCATTATTTTCTTGATCATGAGAAAGAAAGATGGTGAATTTGAAATATTTCCTTTAAAACTTGGTTTCAGATTACCTTAAATTAGATTTTTCCTTTTAATTAAACTTGCAATGTTGGGGAATGTTCCAGTGTCTGTGGTGATAAGGTTTCTTTGACAGGTTTCTTTCCTGTTGTTTTAATCCAGCATACAGGTTTTAAGTACTCTTCTATTTCATCATTACACCTGTGACCTAGATCTATGAACCATGGACATACCAAGCCAAGTGTGTGTGTGTGTGTGTAATAAAGAAAAATCATACAATGGCTTTCTGGATCATCTGGATTACAAATTCATGTTTCAATATTTTTTTTTACATCTCCCGATGTTCTGATATTCCTTAACAGGAATCATCTTCTAATACATTGGCTTCTAGAGGCATTCTGATGATCAGTGATGTTATTGCCATTGTGCACCAGGTGGTTGTTTCCATTCTGATCTAGGATCCAGAATTCATGACCTCCTGCTTCTGTTACTCTAGCTGAGTCTGGCTCATCTTTATATAAATCTGATCAACTGTTTCCATGCCTACTTTCATTTCTGATTACCTCTTCCTAACGAGGAACAGGTAATACCTTCTTTATCCTTCCCTGCCTGGATTACATACAGTATTGCTCCTAATTAATGCCCCCTTTGTAATTATCTCTTCCCCTCCCCCCTTTTTTTTTTGCTGTAGCAGCAAATTTCAAAGATGCTTTAGAGATGCCAGTCAAAGAAAGTTACCTGGTACATGGCAGGACTGCTTCACAGGATTTTTTGACACTTATAAACAATGATTACCATACTTACTGCAATAGTGAGCACTGATGTTTATAGTAAAGTTATAAATATATAAGCCATGTTTGCTACCACTTATTATAGATATATTTATTTATGATAAGATGTATTATCATATGACCCAAATAGTCTCTAATTAGTGCCCCCTCCCTTTTGCAGTTTGATGTCTTTTGTTTTCTCTTTCCCCAGTTGTTTTTATTGAATCATGGACTCTCTTGTTACATGAGCCTCATTCACTTGAATCTTCTTTCAGCTTGTGGATCTTCTCTTTCTACCCTCCCTTTTTTCTCTCGCACTCTTCATCTACTCATCTTCATCTGTTACTTATATAACTTATTTGCTGTCTGTCTATACTTCACCTTTTTTTTAGAGGCTTTACATCATGAACCTTCCTCTTTTACTGAGCAAACTTCCACATACCTGTTTTCCATCTTAGCTTCAATTTTTTCCTGCCATTATATGAGGCAATTTAGTTTCTTTGTTTCAGGTATGTACTTCATTGGGTGCCTCACTTTCTGGCCTTTGCCTCCCTCAATCTTCTTCCAGGACCTCTCTCTTTGTGATAAGATTTTTGGGGTTTATTATACTTTCGAATCTCAAGTTGATT